TGCTCATTGGGTGTTTTCCCCGAGTTAAGAGAGAAGCTGGAAAGAAGAGCTTAGGGAACAATGTGGGAGAAAGAACGGTGGGTCCACACAAGCAGGTGAACAGTAAAAGGTTAGGTCTTGGGGTCTGGCTGGTGACAACTGAGCCTCAATTATCTGCTTATTGATGATTTTTGGAGGAAGACAGGCAATTGGAAGAGGGCGGGGAGGGTCAGACTAAAGAAAAGAGATCCTGCCTGCCCAGGCCGCTTCTGGCTCTGCTACGTGGCCTTGGCGAAGAGGCTGACCCTGCCTGTGCCTCTGTTTCCTCATCTGTCAAGTCGGGATCCTTGAGGACCTATCCACCTGAGTGTCATGAGGATTGAGTTAACCCTTGTGGAGCACTTGGCAATGACTCAAAATTATGGGGATTGTTGGCGATTAACCAAGAACCTTGAGAGAATGGGGATCTGTTGACATGGGTGCTTTAGGAGGGCTTAGATGCAGAAGGTCAGCAAATATTTACCTGCCAGTCACCACAAAATACACATTAAATCAATACTGATGCTGTATTGCATCATCACACAATTGAATCTCTAAGTCTGTTTCCTAAGAAGAGAAAAGAGCTTTCTTAGGATTTTAGAAGGCTTGTTATAACTGGTGCAAGGACGTCACATTTGCAACCTCGAGACCAACACACTTCGAGGCAAAGCGAGCAGGATTTGCCCTGGACAGGATGGGAGGAAGGGGTGGGAGATGAGGCAGGAACTCAGGAGCCAGAGCAGAGCTGGGGGGCCCCTGGCAGGTGGGCCGCCCTGAGTTCCGGTTTGGGCCAGCACATCTGGGATTGCTGCTGGGCATCCATGAGGCAGTAGGAGAGTGAACTCCAGGGAAGGTGCTGTGCGTGCTGCTCAGGCCCCTCAAACACACGGGGCCCTTCACCCGGGGTTCAGCAGTGTCTGCAGGGCACATATCCCCCTCCCCCCCTCCATTTTTGGGATCATTTAATTTTGTTTCCACCATTTTCTGATGCAACATTTCAAGCATACAGAAAATTCTACGAGGGAAGTTTACAGGCGGAAATGACATCATGGGGAGAAGAGACAGCTCTCTCATGCAGAACCATTCCAAATAATCCATGGAGATACTTGCTACTTGCTTCCAAGCAAGTGGAGCCTGATCCCCACTCCTGGAGTGTGGGCTGACATGGCGACTTCTTCCTGAGGACAGAATCGAAAGAGGGAAAATCAAAGAACAGCTTTACTGCAGAGAAACCTGAGAACAGTCTCCACCAGATGATCAAGGTCAACATCAAGGGGTAAGTCATGGGGCTGTGTGCACCCTTGATAAGATGCAATGAGGATGGCACTCTCTCTGGGTGGTCTTCCTCCCCAAAAACCCATAGTCTCATTGTAACCAGGAGAAAAATTTCAGACAGATCCCACCTGCGAGAGATTCTACAAAATGCCCCTCACGGCAAACAAGGGGAGTCTGAGGAGCCGAAGGAGACACAATGACCAGATAAATGTCATGTAGGGTCAGATCGGGGACGGACATTAAGGAAAAACTCAGGAAATCTGAGTAAAGTATGGATTTGAAGTATTAATAATACTTTTGAGTATTAATAAGAACACATCAGTATTGGTCCATGAGTTATGACAAATATACTATATTAATTTAGGATGTTAATAATAGGAGAAACCAGATGTGGGAAATATGGAAACTCTCTTTATTATCTTTGCATTTTTTTCTGTAAATCTAAAATTCTTCTCAATGCTAAAGCTGCTTCAAAACAAAACCACCATATACCCACCGCCTAAATTCTACCCTTCATACTTTACGGTCCCTATCACACACTGCATCTGTATGATGCATCTAGCCCTCCCTCTGGCTCCTTGTTTACCTCTCTTGACTGTCCTTTTTTTTTTCTCTCTCAAAAGGGCACTCGGGAAGCTGGGGCAGGTGGGCACTCAGCACCGCTGGCTCCCGAGGTGCGGCTATGCTCCAGGAATGCATCGAACCCAGGCTCGGCTGCGGCTGGAAACAAGGAGCTCTACTGCCACCTAGTGGAATTTTTTAAGAATTAAAGTTGAGCGCAGGGATGGGGGAAACTGGAGGAGGCCCTGCAGGCAGGGGGCCCCCCTGGCCAGGAGCGTCTCTGAGCCCAGCTGCACGCGACCCTAGCCCCGTCGCGAATGTTTAGCTAGACCCAGACATTTGCTAATTCTGGCCCCGGTTCCCAACTGTGCTGTCATCTCGTAGGGTTATATATACTACACTTTACAAAAAAGTCTTTTTGGGGAGGAGATAGAGCATGAGGGAATCGGGACCTTTCCAGTTTTGCTAGTAGTTTTGACCATGAAGAATAACTTCGGAGCAGCGGCATGGCCTGTCTAGCTGTTTTTGAAAGATAAGTGTCTGGAGGCTTCAGGTGACTGGAGCCTGGGTCTGCAGCCTGTCCTGGGTCACAGGTACCTGGTGTCAGGCTTGGACACACACACTGTGGCCACAGCCTCTCCCAAATGCCAAGGCCAGAGGGACAGGACGTGTGTGCTCTGAAGGGCAGGCAGCAAGCAGGGCCGCCTCTTCTAAGAGAGGCCCCGTGTGTGACGTGGCTGACAACAGGAGGGGCTGTTCATGCCTCTCGGTTAGGAGAAGGAACAAAACCAGCATGTCGTAGTTTGGGTCTCCCCAGAAGCAGAGCCTGGGGCAAGGGTTCAAATGCTAGTCATTTATTTGGGACTTGATCCCAGGAAGCCCTGGGACAGAGTGGGACGGGAGCCAGGGGAGGGAAAGAATCTGATAAAGGATACTTCATGGAACCATTAACGTTGTGGTTTTGGAGCTCAGTTCTGCTGCGAAGCACCCAGCTGAGGTCAGGTGAGGACGCTGGGGTGAGCGCTGCTTCTGGGGACATTAACTGCCACCCTTTTGGTGCCCTGGGCCACAATTAACCGCTTTGAGGGGGCAGAAGTGGGTGCTAAGGAGACGGGTTGGGGCCCTGCCGGGTCCTCCTAGTGTGTTCGTGTTGGGGGTGGGCACCAATCCTACTCCACCCACCTCATCCCCAGCCGGGAGAGGTCCAAGGTGGGGCTGCCTGATGGCTGGGGAGAGCTCAGGACCACACGGAGATTCAGCTGAGCACGAGAAGGTTCTATTTGGGTTAGTAAGGCTGGCATGACGGGGCCCTCCCTGCCTCTCCACACAGGTTAAGATGGGGAGATGCAAATGTTTCTCAAACGTGGACGGGAGTATGAGGGCCGCCCACCAGGGAGGAAGGAGGGGGAGCCAGCTGGGGGTGCGGCCTTGTCTGGAAGCTTCCCCTGGGCCAGCCCTGAGGCTCCTCCCACAGCCTTGTCCTTTGCCCCTGATGAATCTCCCCCAAATGGAAGACCCAGGTACTGAAAAACAGAAGAGGCCCATGTTATTTCCACAGAACACCAAGTATTTAGGTGATAAAAATTTATTACCAAGGAGCTAAAGCTCATCTTGTAGAGAATGTTGAAAAATATGAATCCTCCCCTCCCAAATCTCCAGTGTCTGTCCTTCCTGAAGTGCAACCTAGAAAAATGTATTTCACAAATTACAGAGGACACGACCTCCTGCCTAGAAACCTGGTGGTCACTCACTGTACTCGCGGACCTTGATCCCCAGGGACCCGCCAGGCACGAGGCCTCGGGGCACGTGCTGCACCTTCTGGGCATCAGTTCCCACCCAGCCACATGCGCAACCAAACATCAGTGGGGCCTGAGAGGTCATGGGTCCTCAGGGCCTGCTGGCCAGAAGCAAAGGAAGCACTGGCAGCCGGAAGCCGACGGTCCTGTCATGGCAGAGCGGAAGTGGGACGTGTCCAGACTGCTCCTGAGGGAGCTGTTTCCGTGGGGCTGGCTTCCGTGAGCAGCCGAGGGGACTCTGAGGCTGGGCTGTCTTACCTTGTCCTTCACACTTTCTAGAACAGGATGGTCAGAGAGAGAGGGTATCAGGCTCTGAAAGTTGCTCTAAGGACACAAAGGGCCGAGGGGAGAACACTCCTTGTAAACCGAGCAGTAGCTGAAGGGAAATATATCTGGGGGCACTTCTGGCAAATTCGCAGGGGGGATTACTCATTATCTCAGAGTGGCTCTAGTCTCCTGAATGAACAAGGTATCGAGCATTGAACCTTCGGAAAGCTTTTGCAGTCAGGATCTTCTTTGGTCCTTATAAATAATATATATAAATAAAGGAGGCAGGGTAAGAGCTACGCGTTACCTCTGAGCAGCCGGACGCTCAGTTTTTCTTGCTGTGGGGAGGTGACACCCGAGTGGTGACTGGTAGGAAGTGGCACGTGTGCTAGCCCATGAGGCCAGCCCTCAGCGTGGCCACTTTTTCCCGTCTGATCAGAGAAAGGGCAAAGTCACAAGTTCTGACCTTACGGGACCCTGTCACCTTTGGAGATGACAGACTGAACTGGAAGAGATAAGTAAGATGTTGTTCACGTGAAGTGCTCTGGCAAGAGCACAGCCCATGCCCTCCCCACAGAGAACGGCAGTCCAACGGACAGACCGCGGTCAAAACGGGAAGCGAGGACAGGGCTCCGCGCCCCTCAGCCCAGGCGGCCCGGGGACAGACGGTCGCTTCAGCGCTTCGGTGGCCTTCTCGCCTTCACTGTAATCTCACCCTGTAGTTTATAACCCTCCTGCCCAGTGGTCCAGTTCTACCCTCGAGTGTTCACAATAAAAGGTCACAGAGCAATGGATGAAGGACCCGCTCCCGAAATGTAGGGTCTAAAAAAGCCATCAAACAAGGGGTGACAATACTGAACTGTGAGAGGCAGGGCCAGGGAGCTGGGAGCCCCAGCACGTTAGGGCGAGTCGCATTTGACACCAAAAGTAGAACTTGAATAGGAAAAAAGACTCGGGAGAGGCGTGTGTGTGTTAACTGTTTCCGGTTAGTTTGTGACAAGATCTGTGCTGGTGTTTCTCCCGACGGGGCTGTTCACAGGGACACAAATGCAACTATCTGTAAGACACCATAAAAATGGACAATGCTGTTTCTCCAAAATTTTATTTTAATTTAAATTACAGGGCCAGCCAGATATTCTGATAAGAAATTTACGTTTCCTCAGGAAAAAAGAAATGCTTTCATGGCATTGTTAACAACTGTATACATCTCCTTTTTTGTTTTTAAGGGTTAAAAATCACACTGAGTAACTGTAACGGACTTACGTAAAATTAAACCTTTATAACACAAAAAGAAACCACTTCCAGTATAGTAGTTTTGGTAATGTGAATATATTAAATGATCATAACTTCAAATGCAACTTTTCGACTTTGAATGTTCTCACATTTTTGTTAAAAAAACAACAACAAAACAGATGCCAATGCATCGGCGGCATATGGGTTCTGACAGGCTGCACCCCCACTGCCTTCCACACGGGGGTGCTAGTGCCGTGAAGCCGCCACCCAAGTGGAAGCTGGTTGGTTGTTTCAAGTTCGAAGAACCAGCTTGGCGCTTGGCAAGGAAACCTTTCTTCCACTTGGTGTAACTAATGTTTTCACGCTAAACCCAGATACCAAGCACGAGACCACGAGAACCAGAACGCTTCATCACGGTCAAGTCTGCCGTTCCCTTCCTAAACATCTTGGATATTTCCATTTCGAGGAGCTTGGATCGCTTTCCATACTTCCGATAGAAAAACAGGAATTATTTCACACAGATTTTGGAAAAGACAGCCTCAGAAAAACCAATTATAATGTAGGCTGCCTTTTTAATGGGATGGAATAAAACACATCTATGTTTCCTGGAGCTATTTTCCTCACTGGTATTCCTAGGAGGGTTGAAAACCTCATGCTTAAAACATCCATTGGGAAACTCATTTTGCTGGCTGATAAATAATTCAATTAGTGAGAGAGGCTAGCAAAGAGTAATTATATAAATTTCTTAATCAGCTACAGCCATGCTGAATTCGAACTGGCAAACTCTTGATTTGTTAAGATGTTAGTTGTGATCTCTGTATCACTAAGATGAACAGATACCATTCTAGTAACTTTACACAGATATGTTCTAGGAGACATTGTTCTGCTGTGGTCACAGTAACAAAAAGTGGTGCAAAATCAGTTACTTCATAAATACTGATCATTTGCAGCATTAAGGAACAGGACATTAAAAAAAATAAATTTCCCCATAGGACACCTAGGACTAGGGACTCTTCTTTTCCTAAGAGAAGCCAAAGTTTTAATTACTCAGTTTCACAACTATTGTACTGGATTACTTACTCTAAGAAGGAAAAGGTGCTCTACAGAGGCTTCCCCCACATACGGAGAATCAGCAGTAATTTAGCATAATCGGGATCATCCGTATCTGGCGAACTCATGACTCATTTAAATGAATAAGGCCAACATCACGCAGGAAAGCGTAGCCGACTGACGGCTCCCCAGTAGGTAACTGAATACAAAGGATTGGTTTCCATTTTTTTTCTTTTAATGCTGTGATACTTAAATGTTAAATCAGCATTTTCATGTGATCGGAAGTATTTCAATTACATATGAGCATTCATTTTTTTTTTTTGCAAAAACTCAATATTAGGTAATAGTTACATACTAATACAGTAACATTCCTCTGCTGTACAAATTAAATCATTTAAAAGAAATAAGCATTCTAAGAATTATATACAAAAGAAACCTGTAAGCATTGTTGAAATGAAATGCAAGGTGTCACCATTAGCTCTACTGGTTTAAAATACCTTCCAAAAAGTAAAATTAACAAATACCCTTCAACATATCCAGGTTTACAAGTCTCAAGAAAATCAAATGTCAAAAAATTCTAGAAAGCTGTGAAAAGCATATATACATTTTCCTTATGACCTTATGAAGCTTCACACCTTTGAGAAGTTGCTATCAATTCATTCGCACGTCAACTTTATCCACCCAAAAATCTCCCATCTTGGATACGGTTGCCCTCAGCTCTGCTCCATCTTCCTTTAGTGAAGGCGTACACCCTTACCAAGCACCCACGCTCAGACCTTTACCAGGGATCAATGCAGACACGCAGGTTTGATCTGACAACAGCAACCCCCTTCTTCCCCACATCACACCACCATCTATACATCTGCCTTCGGGAACCTAGCCACGTTCACAACTCCTACAGCAAACAGAGTCCTTGAACTCTGAAACGACACAAAGATCAAGAGAAAGTCCACGTGTGCTCTAGTGTGCAAGAAAGCAGCAGCTACGTTCTCCAACTTGGACTAAAAAAACGAAAAAGGTAAAAATGAAAAACCGTTCACTTAACAGCAGGCTAGCAGTAAAGTCCCTCATGAACTGGTTAAGAGTGCCTGATGCTGAATAGCTAACAGCGAATGCTGAATTTGGATTTAATATTTTAGATGTTGACTGGAAATTAGGCTTCTTGCTGAGCTGGTCTCTTCAAATCCCTGATCTGTTTAACTAAATAGGTCTTCTCATCGTTAAATTGTTCGTCCTCGGTCCTGTCATTCTGAAACTTGCTGAGGAACTCTATAAGTTTGGTCTGGTTCTTGAGAAGGATGTCCAGGATGGGCTGCGTCTTGTTGGGATTGGCTACAAACACCTGCACGGAGAGAAACCGGCATCAGTGACAGGGAAGAACGAGACCCCGGCCGCCGGCCACAGTCAAGGCACACTGCAGAAGCTTCTGCTTTGGAAGACCTCATTTTACAAGAGGGGTGCGTGTGTGTGTGTTGGGGGGGGTATTATATCTTTCAGTCAAAAGAACTGACACATCCATTCATGCTCTGAAATTCAGGGGCTGGTAGTAAATATAGATTGATTTTAGAATGAAATGGGCAGGAATTATTTCTGGGCACAGAGTGTCAGAATAGATTTTAAGTACTAAAACCTCCAAGAAAAGCATTAAGAAATGGATTACCCTTTACCTTGTGATTAATAATATTCTATGCCGAAGATAAATGACATTCGTCTAAAATACACACTTTTCTTGTCCCCAGTCCAGATGATATACCCTGTTTCCGGGTATATTTTTGTTTAAATGTTATACTACGCAAATATGAATACTGACTGTTGGATCACTTAGATTACGAAAATGAGGTGAATAATATTTCAATAACTGGTAAATGAAATGAGATCAGCAACTCTAGAGGAGAATACTGTTTATGGTTCTAGTACTCTACCTTAAAAACGTGGAAGGCCTCAAACTGGATATTACGACTCTTGTCTCGTAGGAGATTCATCATTAATTTGAGGTTCTCTGGTTTACTGATGTACTTGGTCATAATTGTGAAGTTGTGTCTATCTAAGAGTAGTTCACCGAGAAGCTGAGAAGACATTTAAACAACTCTTACATTATCAAGATTTCAAGTAAAACCAAAGTTTAAAAAAATAATTCACTTTATGATCATTGTTAAGCACAGAATATTAACAGGTACGCAAAAGACCAATGAGTTGAACTCAAGTTATGACTGAAAAGCTGAGCGCCCACCTACTTGCCGCTTGCTCCTTGCACACTTAGGCCTTTCTTTTGGGGGTAAGCCTATGGGGGTCTGACACTGCTCTCTGCTCTTGATACATCCCTAGGCACACTGGCCCAGAATCTGAAACTGTCAGAACCTACTCTTTAAATATGCATTTACATGATCTCATTAAAAAAAAAAACTATCAGAGAAAATGGTCAGAAGGAAAGTTATTGACAATTCTTGTTTAACTACAAATCTTAGCTTAATTAAAAAATTATTCTGGACTTCCCAGGACAGAGGGTTCCAGGTCAAAAGCTTCCATACACTTACCCTTAAGCTTGCCAAAGTTATGCTTTCATCATATCTGATTCAGGAAGGTTTATAAAAATGATTATTTCTCTGTTCTTTCTTCAGCAAAGTATCCTGAAGATACTCCAGTTTTCTCTTAAAAACTCCCCATCACTAATGACATCAATTAAGCTAAAAAAAAAAAAAAAAAAAAAAGCCTGTCTCCAGGGCTGAGTTCTAGAGTCCATTATACCATATCAGTCCTTGGTTTTCAAATTGTCACTGCTTGCTCTAGTTTTATTTTCCCGAAACCAGCAGTCACCCCTTCATGTTGTCAGTGGGCCAACTTCTAGTCTGGGTCTAGCAGGCCTGCCGTGGGCTAGAGGTCCAGTTGCAGTCCTTGTGGCATCAGCCTGCGTGGGTTCAAATCCTGGCTTCCTGCTCTCCCTGTGAGCTATGCAACCTTGAGCACATTATTTAATTTCCCTGTGCCCCAGTTTCATCAACCACAGTGGGAATGGTACATCTCACGAGAGTGTAGTGAGGTCTGAGGGAAGAAGCAAAATGTATGAATACAGTTATTCTGGATTAACTGCTTTGGTTAATTCCTTTCTGGATTCCTGGCTATGTTCTAGGTACTTGGAAGTTGCCAAACAACTGATCTCTAGATAAGCAACATGTCATCATATGAAATCAAAAATAACCTGATATGCAGGAGAACGAATCTATTCTACTTAGGATTTATAAAGAAATTATAGGAAGAATTCAGAAGCTCAAGCTCAGGCTTCACATCAATCTGAATCACAAAATATACAACTTTTAAGGTAAGAAGCAACAGGTATTTACTCTTATGAAGACTCAAAAGTTACTATTATGTGAAGGTTTATCGCTTTACTGGTATTCATTTTCTATCATAGAAACCAAGGAAATACTGAACATGGCTCATTTGGTTATCTGGAGGAGGGTAACTGGTAATTCTTTATATTTCTTTAGACATAAAAATAAAAGTCTGAGGTCTTGCACAGGGAATACATATTAGCTGATAAAATATAGGAATAATAAATGCCAATGTAGCTGCAAAAACAGAAGTACAAATTAAAATCCATTTTTAAAGTACCACTAGTTCCCAAATTGCTCCATGCATTCATGAGGTATTATGAAACTGCAGGAGCCGAAGACCGGCTTCATGTCCATGACTAAGGTCTTGCAAATAGTGGTCTTAAACTTCCTTTTCATGGTGGCTCACATAATATGTAAGTGGCAGAAAGGTCTTGAAAGCCCTTCTCCTTATCTAAACAGCCCCAAAATTCAGAATTTGGTCAAAGTCTATTGATTTGCCAATAAACTACCCTGCTCCCCCTCCTGCGAAGAGGTATTGGCCCTGGAAGCTACTACCCTAGGTAATCCGGCCTGGTGTCCTTGGCCTTGGAAGACGCTGGGTCTATCCCGCTGCTCATATCTTTGTGATGCTGTGGAGACCTTGGCCCTCGGACAGAAAGGGGCTGCACAGGGCCACTTGACCGTATGCAGAATCACAGAGGGGCCTACACTGTATCACGAATCTTGCAAATGTGTATTACATCACACCGATGTACAGGGAAGAAAATGTCCTTCAACAGCCGCAAGAGAAGTACCGCTCCCCACTCCCAAGATGAAAAGATTGATCTTCTCAGTGGCCACCGCCAAACAGCACACCAGGAGAAGGGAGGAGGCAGAGGACCCCGGGTGCTGGACCATGGGCCAGGCTGGGAGGCGAGGCCCGAACAGCAACAAAGAGTGGGAAGCGCCCCAGCCCGCCTGGACCATTTCAGCAGCGACACACTTCCAAACTGTGGCTATGATTGGTCCCCCACTGTAGGAGTTACAGCCTTAAGGGAAAAGAAGTAGCTGGCCTGATGGAAAGGATTCTTTTGGAAATGTGGATGGTAGAGCATGTTCTCATCAAAGGACACAAAGTATAAAAGACGCCCCTGATGTCCTTTAGTCCATTCCCATAGAAAGATAAGGTCTTCACGAGTGATCTCCCCATGGCAAGAAGGGCAGCAGGAATGCAGTCCTGATCAAATGAATTCAGACAGCTCTGACAGGAAGAACTCTGAGCAGAGTAGAATTTAAAGTGGACATGGCAAAAAGTATAAATGGAATTAGGATTTTCCCCCTAAATTCTTTGTGATTTCCATCTATAGTTCCTGTCAGGACCACTTACTGACAGAGTGAGAGGTATGCTTTTATTAACTGTACTGAGAATTTTCTAGAGCAGAGGTCAGCAAATTTTCTGTAAAGGACCAGATAGTAAATGTTTTTAGACTTTGCCAGCCATATGGTCTCTGCAGCAACCGTTCAAATCTGCTGTTATCCTCTGAAACAGTCTCACATAATATGTAAATAAATGAGTGTTATCTGTGTGCCAATAAATCTTTATTTACAAAAATAGCAGGGAGCTGGATTTGGCCCATGAGCTATAGTCTGCCAAACCCCGTTCCAGAGTTTTAAATCTTAAATTTAAATTGCAAATGGAACTGTCCATACCCCAGGTTGATACAAAGCAGCCAAACCTGCCTGTGGTTCAAGGTTTCCCTGCTCACGTCCCCTCCACACAATAAGCCTGTGCCGTCCCAGGGAGCACAATAGCTACTGGGCCTTTGTCTGGTTGAGGTAATTCTAAGTTTCAAAAACTGGCTTCCAAATGTAAAATACTGCATTGCTAAGAGGTAGAGACCTCTTCAAACTTCTGTATATTCCATTTTGGTATCCCTACCTACAGGCAGGTGGGCAGGTGCCCTGTGTGGACCACTGCTGAACTCCTTCCTTTCCACAAAAATCTTGACCATGGACAAATATATTTTCCTTTCAAACGTCTAAGACCCACACCAGCATATCTCCCTTTCGCCAAATACAAGTTTCAAACACAGGGTGAAGAGAAATAAATGACATGAAATAATCAGTCATACCTTGAGTGACTGCCTTTTTGTCACATAATTTTCTGAATGAAGTAACTTCTCATATTCACTGAAGAACTAAAACACAAGAAAACATGTATCAGGAGTTATATTTTTAAAGATTGGTAGAGAACATTAAAAAGCTGAGCACAAACTTTTTTTTTTTTAAGATTTTGCTTATTTGAAGAGAGTGAGAAAACATGAGCAGAGAGGGGGGCAGTAGGAGAGGGAGAGCGACAAGCAGACTCCCTGCTGAGTGGGAAGCCCGTTGTGGGGCTTGATCCCAGGACCCTGAGACCGTGACCTGAGTCGAAGTCAGATGCTTAACCGACTAGCCACCCAGGCGCCCTTGAGCATGAACTTCTAACACCACGAAGGCTACCAGCTGCCCTTCTGTCTCACACAGCCTTCCTCAGCGGCACTCAAGAGATCCTTAGGGGTGCCTGAGGATGACCTCCAGGAGGAGGGCTCCTGGGACCAACCCTTGCCCAGCGCTAGACAGGCCCATACGGCTTAAATCTGGTATTCTTCTGTCATCCAGACTCCATATGCACAAACGTAACTCCTACCCTCCAAATGTTTCTCAAGGTGGAGTCAGCTCTCATGTCTTGGTTCTAGAAAATTTATTTCTATTTTTTTACAATTCAGTGAGCCTGAAGCACAACCACAAAGAGAAAAGTTACCTGTTCCTTCAACGCATCAAGCAAAAGGTGAAAATAATTAAAAATAAAGGAGAAATTCAGCACTGTCAAATAGGTAGGTGTCCTAGAGAAGTTGGGACTTGGGCTCAATCTTGAATAATGGCAGCAATTTCATTTAGAAAAGGGGATGAGAAAAGTATTCTTCAGAGATAAAAAGGGAAGGACACAGCATGAATGAAGACTGGAGAATGCACAACGTGACCTACTTGGGAAGTGACACGTGTCCACCAGATTTACAAAATGGTGCTCACTAACAAGAGTGTGGTGTCACTGGCATGGCAAGGAGAAGTCCATCAAAGCAGGAGGGACACACAGGGGACAAGGCCACACTTGCTGAAGCTGTTGGTGCCTAAGCTTTACCATGGGTCCTTACCAGCCAGAATCATCTGTGACTTAGAGCAGGCGTTAGCAAACTGCAGCTCTGGGGCCAAATCGAGCCCGCCACCTGCTTTTATAAATGAACTTTTGTTGAACACAGCCATGCTCATTCACGTATTGTAAATAAGTCTGTTTATGTATTGTTTATGGCTGCTTTCTCCAACACAGGAGACCGGAGAATCGAGAGAGACTGCATGGCCAGGAAGCCTGAAATACTCACTATCTGGCCCGTTACGGAAAAGGTTTTCTGACCCCTGCTTTAGAGCTAACCCAGAACATATGCTTATCTCTAGGCAGAGGTGGGATGGCAGACTTCTCCTTCTTCAGAGAAGGATGTTAACCCAACTTTCTCCTCAAAGGATCATCAACCCAACGACCCAAACAACTGGATCTGCCTTTAATCAGTAACACAGAATATGTACCCCTAAAGTTCTTGACAGAAAATGCAGGTTAAGATTTTTTGCTGCCCAATTTCTAGGATAAGCTTAGGTGCAAGAGATTATCCTGACAGAGGACTGGCTGAAGAGTGCATGTGTCGTCCATGCGCTCCCCCAGGGATGTTGGATCTCCTCCCTGGGTTAGGAATATGGGGCGAGGACAGGCACCTCTGGGGCTCCTCGAAGATCTGCTCCCGGGGAATTAACTACACTTCAGTTCAGCATTTCAGTCACCTTGAGGGCTGCATCCACTACATGCCACTCTGATCGAAATCCCCCAAGAATGCCAACAGAAGAAATATGTTTTGTTTTACAGGTGTTGCGAGTTTTTTTTTTTTTTTTAACGGATTCTGTTTCTCTCTATGCTTCTGGTTATTAGAGAGCTCAGGGCCCAAGCGTGCAGGCCTTCAGATGACGAAGTCTTGTGTAATCGCACCCCCTGGCTCCTCGCTCACCTTCTCACTCCCCGAGATCTGACCACACGGTCTACACACTTCTGTTAGCTGCCTCACATAAATTTTCCTAAAACCCTGTTAACCAATGTCATCCATTAGTAACACGTAGGAAAGCGTTTTACTACAAAACTGAACTGATGTCGCTGTTAGTTTGTATCTTCAGTGGGCTTTAAACTAAGACACCGGTATGTTAAGTCGGAGAATCCCTGAGACCAGGCAGTAACACAATCTGCCAACGATTACTAGCTGCGTACTGCGTTCCAGGCGCTGCTGTCATGCGCGTGACACACACATTCTTAGTAATCCTCACAAAACCCACGACAACAGCGACGGTGCTATTACGAGCCTTCTTTTAGGGCTGAGGATTCGAAGGCAGAGGGTGAATGAAGGCAGCCACCCAAGGTGGGGCTGGGACTTGAAGCCAGGCTCCAGGCAGCCTGGTGCCGAAGCCCACGCCTCTAACTGCTGTAGAAAAGCAGCCCTGAGATGCCTGTGCTCCCACTTTAAACCAACGCACGTGCAAAGAAATGTACGATATCCAAATGGAAAATTAAAAAAAACTGATGACCAGCAATGTTTAAGCCACTCGTGAGGCTTTCCATGAGGGACTTCCTATGTACTCAGCATTGCGTGATGGATGTTACCGAGTGGGAGGGAGAGAGGAGCACAAGAGTTCAAAAGCGCAGATCTTGCCTCTGAGAATCTTACAATTTAGTTGAACAGCAAAGTGAACGACGAAGTATTAACAGTGTGTGCCTAGGATTTCAGAAATTCAAACAACTAGTGGAAGAAAGAAAATCTAAGCCAGATCTCATGGGTTGGACAGGAATTTTAAGTGGGCTGTTATTATCCTAGCTTCTCTCGGGGAGCCCATTGGGTTGTGGACAGCACAGCAGTTAAACCAAGCTGGCCTAAGGAGGCGCTGGGGGGCACGGTGGGGAGCAGAGCCCAGGGCACTGTAGCCTGCTGCGCCCATCAAGGGCACTCGGGATTGTTTACAAACTTCTGGGAGTTTTAGTACCAGGCAATGTGACAATGGCTCAACCTGGAAGGGCCCTTACTGCTGGGCTAGTCCAGTGTCCTCACTTTATAAGGAGGACGGACGTCTGAGTCCCCCAGGGGGTAACGGCCTTGATCATGGCCACCAGGGGGCAGCAGCAGGGCAGGAGCAGAGCACCCCCCCCCAGCCTAATGCTCTTCTCACCCTCACGGTCACCCCCCACCCCTCCTGGAAGCAACAGGAAAGTCAACAACTGATAGAAAGGAAGGGAGAGTTAAGTCTGATGACAATTTTCTTTTTATCTTAACTGTATATTGTCTTTCGGCAACAAAGCACTTTTATTTCCTCCCCTAAAGCAAGGAGAGATGCAAAGGGTAGCGTGTCAATCAAAAAGATAAATTTCTGCTTCTGACCAAGTTAACACTCTTACACCTCATTTCAGTAGAGAAATGATTACAGTACCATTTAAAACCATTACATTTGCAAAGTAAGTATCTGGCATAAAAATCTAACTTAAATCTTTCATTTCTGGTACAAGACTTACTCTTTATTTGAGAGAGAGAGAGAGAGCGAGCACGTGCGCGAGTAGGGCAGAGGGAAAGGGAGAGAAAGAGAGAGAATCTTAAGCAGGCTCCACACTCAGCAAGGACAGAGCCTGACGTAGGGCTCGATCTCATGACCCTGAGATCATGACCTGAGCTGCAATCAAGAACTGGATGCTTAACTGACTGGGCCACCCGGGCGCCCCCAAACTTACAATATTAAGGTAGTATTTCATATACTTACTTTATCATAATGTTGTTCCAAAAATTCTGCACTGAGCAATTTATGTCTTGTAAGTAAATCCTAGAGAAAGAAAATACACTATTTTACAGTTGTTCTGCATTCAAGTTCTTTTAGAAAAGAGAATCCTAAAACATGCCACGCCATTTTACCTGATAAAAACTGTTGTTAAAAATCACTATACTTAAAAACATTTGAACATGAATTATATTGAAAATGTTGATTCTAGGTAAGAGCAAATCAAATCGTTAATAATTTGAAACTGTGATTATAATGATTGTGATTAGTCACGGGTCTACAGATCTTAGAAGGAAAAATTTAAAAACAAACAAATTCAAAGAAAGGGAATAAAGCAATAAAGTGAAATAAAAGTAAACGATTATGGTAAAATGTCAAATAGAACACGGCTCCTGGTGGAGAAAGAGGAAATTTCTTTCATTAGAAAAAGTATCGGAGGTTCCATTTTCTTCCTCCTAAATTCTGTTACATTCAGTTTCATATCTAATGCAATCTTTTTTTTAGGGACAGAATGTTTTAAAAAACCCCACCATGTTAAAAACATTAGCTCCTCAGTAAGCAGACTAATGCTGCAAAAATGTAGACTCAAACATCAGAATGTCCCAGAGTCCAATTTCGCATGACTACAAAGTAGAGCTTATGCCTCACCATATGGCTGTCCCAGGACACAACTCAAGGGTCATTCATTCAGAAAATATCTACTATGTGCCAGGTGAAGTTCTAGGTGCTGGGGCTACAAAGACAAAAAATGTGGTCCTTGCCTTGAAGAACCTGCAAGTCAGCAACGAACTAGCCTTGGTCTCACCAGGTGGGAAAGAGAATGGGAACCTATGACAGCAGAAACGGTCAGTCACTACTTGGTGAATTATCGAATCCAATTCCTTTACAGCCACCTACTGGAGAGCTTAGCTCCAATAATCCCCGTTCTCCGAACCAACTCTCCTTGTCTTCTTAGCTGTTCATGTTTGAGGGGCCCAGGTCGCAATGAACTAGTGTTTCCTGAAGTATGTCCAAGTGTAATGCCGGTCCTAAGAAACGCCCCAGGAAATGTTCCACGGTCAAACACACGTGGAAAGCACTACGGCTCTGGTTCCCTCGTGGGGACCTGGCAGGCCTCGAGAAATCCTGCAGGGAGCTCTTCTGTCACCTACTGTGTGACTGCCCTTCCCTGAAAGGCCTTCCTCACACAGGCTTTCCACTCGGCCTAGCTAACTACCACCTTCGAACCTTGCTCCCACATCACTGCCATGTGGTGAGAAGCCTTCCAGACTGGTCACCAGCACCGAAGCATGGACACAGTTGTCTTTATGTCCGTGGGACTATCTGATTACCATCTCTCTCATGCTAGACTGTAAGTTCTATAAATATAACGGTCATGTCTATTTTTACTAATCTTTGAATCCCCAGCACCCATGCAGTGCCCAGCACATAGGGAGAGCTTAATATTTAATAAATAAATGAATGAACCAACAAAATCAGGGAACAGGTTTGGGAAAACATCACATCAAGCAATCTTCAAAGTACGCTTTTAAGAAGGCTTCTAACTCCACCCCAAAGATTTACAGGTGTTCAAACTGCTGGATAGGGTATGCATTGTATGCTCAGGAAAGACCTAATTTTTTCCAAATCCCCCTTGGGGGGTTAAATCGACAAAATCAGGAAACCTAAAGTTTGAGCATCCTCAAGAAGCCGGAAAAGAAATGCTATGAAGCTTCCCCATATGGGGCAGGAGATGGGGGGGTGAAAAGGAGAATTTATATTATCTTAGCATACTGGCCCATGGGAGTCAGCTATTAGGGAGAGAGGTACACAAGACCTTGAAGGGAATGTATCAAGGATGCTTGTTAAAGGCACTTCCTCCTTCTATATGCTACTGTCATCTGTTTATGGTGGTCCCCCCTGTGTAGGAGCCTCAAGGGCAGGGGTCTGTCTGGTTCACTGTTGAACCTCAGCACCTACAGAACGGTGCCTGACAGGATTGGCACTCAGGCTTGTGGAGCGAGCTGACTGAACAAATGAATAAGCGAATTAAGGGATTAGTGTGTCAGGATCCATGCAAAACTGTCACTTCTTTTTTTTTTTTTTGTGGCTAAGTCATTCTGGAGACCAATATAAAGATGTACAGTGAAAGGAGCCCAGCGTTCACCGCTCTGCCATAATCTGACAGAAGAGAATGACGAAGGTGGGGGTCTTAAAGACAATGGCTCTCAACTGGGGTTGATATCAGGGACAGGTAGGTAGAAGATATTGCTCTAGAAAGCCAAAGTCCTAAACACATGGTGCAACAGATTTCTACTCAAGTTCTGAGTAAGGAAAGTACTCTGAAGGTTGGATCTCAAAGCAAGAGCCTCATAGTTGGGCCATACAGGAAAAGTGGGGACCTCTAACATCTCCCCTCTAGGAAAGATTCTATTACCTTTGATTTCAAGAGACCAGGAAACCCAGGAAACCCCTGTCAATCTAGGAATCAAATCTCAATGACCTTGGGGTAGGAGAGACTGAAGGGGCGCTCCGAGACTGCTGAAGTAGGGGCCAGAACCCCAATACACCGCAGGACGAAAGCTCCTTGTCAAGACGGGCCACACGAGGGCCTGGACAGGAGTGGCACGTCGGTAGGAAGGAAGCAACTGCTGAGAGCCGGCGCCGGAAAAGGCTGATTCTAAGCAGGGAAAAGAGGAGGTGGGGACTTGGGCAGAGCCTGTCTACTGAGAGATGAGAAGGAACCTCAGCCTAGGGGCTAGAGCCAAGAGCTCCGGAGAGTTCGAACCACGCTGGGGGGACACAAGAAGAAGACAAAGGGAAAAGGCCATGCAGCCAGCGGTCAGAAACCTGCAAAATTTCCAGGGTGCCATGTGAGCCCAGACCGCAAGGTGCTGGGTCAGCTAGCAGTGGGGAGGGGGAGCAGGACCTCTGACTTCCTATCTAATTTCTAGTCTACCCAAGGCCCTGGCAGGACTGGGAGAAAAGGCAGGGGTCATCTCCCGAGCCCAGCAGATTGAGCAGCCAACTTTGAGGGTATGCTGAATTTAAAAAGATTCCTAAAAGCAAGCTAGTAAGCTGGGGTCTCAAAACACCATGTGGCAAGCACGGCCCTGGGGTGCCTGAGGAAATGCCACTGACCCCGGGGCTCAATTTCACGGAGCCTTGGCAAGTTGTGTGGCTCATTTTCCTCCTTGATGCTTGACCATGTCCCAGGACAAAAGATTCAATTCTTCCAACTGTGTGGTTTCCCTTTAAAGCTCTTGAGGGTTAGAAAGTCCTCCCTGTGCTAGAGTCAAACCTAGGCCCGGGTTATTTCCAGAAACTATCAGAGCCCGCAGAAATAGGTTCGACCCGCTGTCTGTAGGACCCCACTTCCCATACACGTAGTGCTCTCACGGCAAGTCCCTACCGAGTCTTCTCTTCTCCAGGCTAAATACGTCCAAGTTCCTTTAACCACTCCTCGCATGACAGGTTCTGAGTCCCCCTCACCATCTACTGGCTTCTCAAAGTCATCTATTTGTCTATGTGCCTCTTAAAGTGTAGCGCCTGGAACGGAACACATTTATGTGTTGTTACCTTAGTGGCTTAGAGTGGGGCAAGACCATCAGCTCCTTAGGTCACACACTGTGTGGTCACATGTGGCTCTGGGGCAGCAGCATCACACTGTTTAATTTTACAGGACGTATTCAGAATTTTGTTTCTCAGAGTGGGCTCTGGAGGCAGACTGCCTGGGTTCAAATCCTGGCTTCCCCATTTATAGCCTGACTTCACCCAACATTTCTATAGACTCCAGTTCCTTTATCTGTAAAGGAGATGGTTGAGTCGGATACGAAATTGCCTATATTTCAGTAACGGTTACGCTAGTAACTATTATAGTTATTACTCACTATATTATTATGCCTCTTCCCACATCCCTTATTTATAGAGTTGGGTCCTCGAGTGGAAGACCCCAGTAACCGTCCTGTTCCATTCTGGCCTCTCCGGATCGCTATGAAGCCTTATTTTAGGATCACCATTGTCTGCTGTCTTTCCCCTTCAAAGCTGTCACCTACACATGTGGTAAGTAGGCCTTGTCACCCTTTATCTAAGTCATTAACAATGTTCAGCAGGGCTGAGACAAAGCCCAGTGGAAATCCACCGGAAATTTCTCTCCAGGGTGATGGCAATCCATTCTCTAGCACCCTATGGAGAGGGCATTCAATTAGATGTAAATCACGACACCGAAACTCTAGTTCCGATCTTTTCATCGATTCCATGAAAGCAGATCTGTACGATTATTCAACACCCGGTACGTCCTCACGGTCCTCCTGTGTGGAGGCACAGTAACCCTGACATACTAGTATTATTACTTCCATCCTAACAGATGAAGAGCTTGGGATTAAATCCACAGCAGAGCTGGGAAATGAACCCAGGCAGCCACATGCTCTTAGTCCCCTCAGCTACTGGCATCTATGAGATTAATAGGACTGAACTTACTCTTCGTGAATCCATGCTGGCTGTGGGTACACGGTTTCCTTTCCAAAATGCTCAGAAATCATCTCTTTAGAAACACTTTCTAGAACCTTACACAGGTTTAACATCGAGCTCCAAGCTCCACCAGCCTCTCTGGGGAATCTACCTTCTTTTACTCTGGAAAAATTGGAAATATATTTGTTGGCCTTCTGATGCCCCTCCCCATCTCCTTAAGTCCTCAAAAAAGAAAACACGAACAACATTTGGTCACTAATTTACTATCTTAGTACACATTCATTCAAGCTACAAATCTTGGACGCATTTAGAGCAGGTAGTTTTGGGTTTTTTAAAAATATTTATTTAAGTAATCTCTGCACCCAACGTGGGGCTTGAACTCATGACCCCGAAATCAAGAGTCACACACTCTTCTGACCGAGCCAGTCAGGCGTTCCTGGAGCAGGTAGTTTTTAATTTCCTTTTGAGACTCAGCACCTATTCCACAGACTCTAAATCCAGGTTTATGGATGAGCTGCATTTGTTTGAAAGTTTTTATGTGCAGAGTGCATTTTCTGGAGAGATAGTTCTGGTCACATTCTTCAAGGATAGCGCAACCCACGGATCTATCCTTTTTCTAGGATACAAGCAGTCTCTCAGAGGACAGCAGGAAACCAGGAGAGGAGAGTCCTCCCTCCCGGTCAGCACGTCTGGTCGGAGGCTCCGGGACACTGTCACAGCTGACCCGGATTCCTTCTAGGGAAGGTCTGCCTGATAGGTCTGTCTGTCTGTCTGTCTGTCTCTCTCTCTGTCACACGCTCTCTTGGTTTTGGGCTCTACTTGACTTTGTTTCTCGGAGCGCTCTCTGTTCAGGGGCCTCTTGAAAGAGCTCCTCCCTTTCTGTGTCATCAGGAGCGGCTGAGACACACAAGCCAGGGCAGCTTCTCAACGCGGTCTCTTCCAGTGTCCCTCCTTCAGATCCTGCACTGTGCTGCGAAGTTTCCCTTCCTCAGGCAGACCTACCTGCCAGGCGCTGGGTGCCCAGTCTCTCCCGCTCTGGCTAACGCGACCTGCCAGGGTTGCTTTACCCACAGCAATTCCATCACCACCGCTTTCTCCTTGGTGAGAATGTAAGTCAAAGCAGCAGCCCTGACTGAGGGCTGATACTGAAACCATCAGCGAGGCCAATCAAGACTGTCAGATACTGCGAATCCCGTTTCCGGCAGTGCTGACACGTCTCTCTCACCTGCTGGCCCGCTGTGTGGCACCGAGCACCCGCTGGGACAGGCGGTCCGACCGCGCGCTCCCACACCGCCGCCGCCTCGCCCACAGTGACCGCCCTCAGCTCGTGCCTTGCTTTCCACACAGGATCTCTCCCCGTACCGCCCTCTGGAACAGGCCTGCTGCTTTACACCGGGGCATCCCCTTCCACTATATCCCATGTAGGAGTCCTATCCCCAAAATGCAGTGACACAAAAGACATCACATTTATTGTTCTGTTATAACCCCGAATTCAATCTATTTTGCTTTGTACGTTGACATAAAAATATCTGAGATCGCATCACCTAAGGCTTCTGATATCCTCTTTAATAGTGGTTTCAGGAAAATAAATCCTTGGGCACCTCTCACACTATTACCTCATTCTTGTTTCATGTGAAACCCTAATGGCCGGGTCCCCAGGTTTTCATCCTGTTTTAAGGGTGTTCATTCACTGTGAGGGACATATTTTACCCAGAGACCAAGGTGTGTGCTCATTATCTCAAGGGCTCTTTATCGTCATAAAACTAGAACCCTCATGAGAAAAGTGGCTACTTCTCACTAAAACAGTGTTCATGGTTTCTAAGCAAAGTAGTCCACAGGTTAGTATATTAAATTCTGATTACATTAAAGTAGCAGTAAATATTCACTTATGAGGTCAGACATTTTATATAAGGGAATGTAACATCTAAAAGCTTACTTTCATTGTGAAGAACACTAATAAATATTAACGCTTTATATACTGGAAACGGCATAGAACCTGGCAATGCAAAACAAAAATGTGCATGTTGTACAGTGGTATCGTATCATATGTGTATTTAGTTTATACAAATACACAACAGGGAGATAAGGTATACAGGGAAGGGCGGCTACATAATAATTTGGATAGTGCAGATGATTCTGCTCCCTTTCCCCCCAGCATTTGATAAATAAGCTTTGGCACGAGCATGAGGTAGGAGAGCTAAGTCTATCGTTCCCTTGGGCCTGTCCACAATGTGGAAATCTCTGCCCTGATTGTGGTTTTAGTATTTAAAGACATGCCTATTCCAAATTAGCATGGCCCTGAATAGAAGACAACTACTTTGTCCAGCGTTTAACCGAAGAAACTGCTGTAGTATGTTCTAACACAGGAGAAAAACCTGTTTGCTAGGTGTACGTGTACCAGTACACCACACCTAATGGGTAATTTAACAGAAAAGTGTGCTTTTGCCCATACTGACCACACTTTTGGATAGAGCTTACAATCTAACTCTTCCACCCTTTTTAAGCTGTGACTCCCTTGCATACACCTAAGTCACACGGACACACATAAAACATATCTTCTCTCCTCCCGCTAGAGGGCAGCCGTGTATAGACCTGGAGCTTAGAGGTTCAGGAAAAAAACAGCAAGCCAGTTAATCAGACTTACAAGTGTTTTTAGAATTCTACAGTTTTATGTTACCTTGAATGTGGCAAATGCATCTGAAGCTATGTCAAATGTTGACATTTCGACATATCTGAAGAAATCGTAAAATTGTTCTGACCACAAAATGATTTTTGCAAGTGGTTCATGTCTGATGCATTCTCTCAACATTATTCCACAATTTAGAGCTATTTCTGGAGATTCATACCTACAAAAAGAAAAACAAACCATGATTGCTGTTTGAAAACTCCTCTACTAACACTGAACAGTTCAAATTTTTAGAATAGGAAGTTTCAGATGTGTCCTAATTGACCAGAGAAGGTTACAAAAGGCATCTCTCTCAGAGGAGGGTCTGTGCTCAGGTTAATTTACTCTAGAGGGCACACACATATTAGCCGGTGATCAACTGCTTCAAACCAAAGAAAAATAACAATAAATAAATAATAAATAAACATTCATAATTTAAGCTAAAATATTTGAGGAGAAGTATTTAGGGTCCGACTTCCAAAAAGGGGTTAGATTTACGTGTGGTGCTCTCAAGACTTAGAAAAACCAAAAGCTGAATCAAAAACCATTATGAAACAAAATCGTTTCCCAAATTCATAGTATCTAAACGGGGCTATCAAATATACAGCACTTATACTTCATTGTTTCAATTCAATACTCAAAATAGAACCTTCAAGACTCTTGGCAACACGAACCCTACAAAGTTAAAAAGCCTGATCCTGAGGAGGTCACAGAGCGCTTGTCAAGGAGAGCCTGGAGGACTCTGGGACTCTCGCAGTGGGTGCTGGGGACGCTCCGGCATCAGTCATGCACACATGGCTGTGTCTTACCTCGGTCAGAAAGGAGCCCCATTTTCCTCTCAGCCGTGCTGCCCGCCCCCTTCTGACAGGTGCCTAGCCTCGGGGACTGGCCTTGGCCCCTCCACCGCCTCTGGGCCCCTCCACCGCCTCTTGGGCTGCATGCACCGGCTCTGTGTCTCTCCCATGTACCAGCTCCTCAACCCTCCCACATTCGTTGCATTTCCCAACATTCTACTTGCAAAAGACCTCTTCCTGGCTAAAAGAAAGTTCTCTCACAACATAAATTCTACTCCTTAGTGTCCCAACAGTGCCAACCTTTGCATCTCTGTCTTTGAAAAAGGGAAAGAGAAAGCTCTCTCAGTTCTCCTTTTTAACCCTCGCGAGGACTGTTCCTATTTCTTGCCTGGCTGAGGGCGTTCCTCCGTGGCCGCTGGCCTGCTAGTGGTCGCCCGGACAATTTCATGGCTCCCACCATGACTCCACAGTTCCCTTACTCAGGTCTGCTCCTGAACTCTAGTTAGGCATTTTCTGTTGCCTCTGGACAACTTCAGTTAAAGGTCTACCATAAGCACTACATATCTAAATTCAAATCTCATCTTCCTCCGCAAAACAGTCACCCTCCCCTGCTTCCTCATTTCTATAATTTGGCGCCATGATTTTGTTCCAGATACCTGGGTCTAAAACAGGTCTTCCAGAACTTTCTCATCTGAAAATCTAAGTGTTCTATATCTGTGCTGTCCACTGTGGTAGTTGCTACTAGCCATACATGGCTACTGAGCACTTGAAATTTGGCTAGCACGACCGAGGGATTGAATTCTAAACGTTATTTAATTTAAATTGATTTAAAACAAAATGATGGAGTGTGTTTAGTAGGTACTGCATTGGACAGAACAGTCCCTTTCCCCCTTTCAGCACATCCAAACCTTCCCATCTTCGGTGTCACAACCACCCATCCTTTTTAAGACTTCTCTGAAATATTTTAGTTTCATTTCCTTTTCATCCATCCCCACTGCTGCATTAACTCACACCTAGAGAAAGGCAAGAGCTCCCTAACCAGCATCTTTGTTTAAGCTGTGTCTTAACCATTTTACCCAACACACAAGGGTATCAATAGCATTTCAAGCTTAGGAGTTCAAAATGATTTCTACTTGCCAATCAAATAAAGACAAACTTCTGGGCTTAATGTCCAGGCTTCTCCTCACGAGATCTGTTCCTACCATACAACGTCATCTCCCACTCGGCCATCAAGCACTCACTCCGATCATCTCCTTATTGCTGCCCATCACCATGTTCATTCCTGTCCCTGGAACCACTCTCTTTTTCTAACTATGCAAACTCCAAACCCTCTGGAACTCCAATCATTAGTCTCACCGCTTTTATCAACCCTTGCCTCATTGACTAAACATTTTATCCCCTGAAATCCTACATACTAATCTTCTCTCGCAGTGGTATCCCTCTGTGGTACACGGGTTCATCACAGAGCCTCAAGAAGATCCAAATGACTCCTCTGTAACACGTGTGGCCCAGCAACTAGAATGCTGACTGACGCTTTGGTCATGAAAATGTCTGCTCACAAAATGGCTGATCGTACCATTCACCTTCACTGATCTTAATTTAATAAGCAGGAGACTAGAAAGACAAGAGTAAGACAGTTTGGTACAACAAGTTGGGCAGGTTTTGATGGTGGTTTGTCAAGCTTGTCTTAAATGATTAAGCCATAAACCACTGAGTTCAGGGCAAACAGTTATACTGTACAACCTGTCAGCACTAGAGTGGAAAACACATTAACATTCAAATCACCAGAGAAAAAACTACTCCCTCCAGATGCAGTCGAGCACCAGCAACAAGATTATGTTCAAATGCACACGGACACCAGCAGCGTAAGTCCCCCTGATGTCTAACAACAAAGTACTTCCAGCTTATGCAGGTGGTCACGTTGTATGCGAGTAGTCTAAACTCATGAACTAAGGTACAGAAATCTTAAAAGGTAGTTCACAAGGCTCCTTGAAGAAATGGCTGTTTCCAGGTCTGGGGTAGGAACCCGTACAAAATGAGCAAGGGACATCTTGTGCCAGAAAGCAAGGAAGCTATCAAAGACTAATGGGGTCTTGCCATAAGGACATGGGCACCAACTTGAAGGAGCTTCCCAATGGCCCAATGATGACACAATGTGGATATAAAAATCTGGACATAATGACTGCAATGGACTGAAACACATCATATATGTTTTAACGCCCCCCCCCCCCGCCCGGCTGCAGTTCACAAAGATTTGCTCACCAATTTAAAAGAACAGAAGACAAAGGAACACACTAAATGAAACCACAGGGATGCAAAATCCAAAATATGTGATTTTTCTATAGAACAAATGAGCCAGTTGCTTCAACAAGTAAATGGTAGTGTAAAAAAAAAAAAAAGAAGAAGGCGTAAGAGTCATATGAACCAAATTCAGTTTGTGGACCTTGCTTGGAACTGGATTTAAACAAACTAACTGAAAAATGGTATTCTGTGTATGACAGTCTGGGGCATCTGAACACTGAGTGTAAGATAACATTGGGTTTGCAAATGGTTATCATGACTACGGTAAAAAACAAACCCTCGGATGTATTATGTACTAAATCCTAGGGATGCATACTAAAGCACTGTTGTGTGTGAGGAGGGAAAGGAGGGGGGGCAAGGGCAATGAAGGACGAGTCACAGAAGGTCAGTGATGGTCAGAGCTGGGGAAGGGGTAGGAAAAGGCTCGTTATTTTCTTCCCTCCAGCTTTCTGCACACTTTCCACTCTAAGGGCTAAAAAAGGATGGGGAGACCAACACCAGCTGCATTTCCATTTCTCCTCCTCTCTTCCCTCACTGAGTTTTCTGCTCTGGCCTGCTCACGTGAGAGCTCTCAATTTTTCTTGAAGCTGTACCTTAAAATTCTGAATTCACATGATGTTTAACAATGTCTATATCATACCTCTGGCTACTTTCAAGTGAAAATGTAGGCAAACTAATTTATGGATTTTAATAACCACTGCTTTCTATGGAAAAGGAAATACTCTGTTTAAAAATACACAAAGGCATCTGGAAGGTGCTCGAAGAACACCAAAATTTCAAACTACTCACTACATGTTTACACACGCAACTCTGGATTGGTAACAACAAAAAAATTAGATGCCAAAAGTTCTGTATGGCAACATCTGAAGAAGCAACATAGATATTTAGAAATAGAAGGAAACAGAATGCTGGCATCAAACACATGCACTGACTCATGCTTTGTCTAAACAAGTTTGAACTTGGGGGAAGTGTTAAACCGCAGAGATATGAATCAGAGGGAGGCAAGCTATAAAGCGAGGGGTAGGAGAGCAAGCTGATTCACGCCAACAGTCATGCCAGTAAAATGCCTGTCCGCCAATTTAATAGAACAGCACCAATGCTGGGACAAACGGATGCTCACCAGACCCAGAGCAGACAAACAAGTCTTGTGTGAAACAACAGGGGGTGACCTTGCCAATCAGGGAGGCTCACTATTGAGGGAGAAGAGGATTTGTTTTCAAGTTTTTTTAGTTTTTAGGCTTTTTTGGTTTTGGTTTGTTTTTCAATACTAACAAACTACCATAAATGCCTGCTTATTAGTCCAGCTATTAACTCCAGGAAGATGCACTAAGTGGGTGAGTCAGCAGACACACACAGGTAAAAAGCAAAGGGCAGACTTCATAAACATGTTCTTTGTTGATGGAACACAGGTAAACTATACAGCACCCCAGCTCCACTTCCTAGGCAGCTTCTACTGCCTCAACAGTGTGCATATCTGTCCAAAGAAGACGTCTCTAAACACAGCATTTAACTGATAGTTCATATAAACTTTTAAAATCTGGAGACTAGAAGTAAGATCACAGAAGACTTTTTTTTCCTTCAGTTGTACAGGATTTGAGAATTTAAGGGCTCTCGATTCACCCACTTTTAAACTCCCATATGGGTATCTTCAAATTCAATTTACCTCACTGGCTGAATTGTAAGGAGGGAAATGTGTTTAAGATTAGTTTGGAAAAATTAGCTGACTAAACTATAGAGAAAATACTTTCCCACATTTACCATTCTGCCTTTACCCAAGACCATCTTTCCTTTTTATTTTTCAACTGAGAATATAAATTTTGTTACATTGTACATACCCTTTCAATAACATGAACAAAATATTCTGTTGAGTGCAGATGTATTCAACAGTAGGAGTTCTTGTACCAATTTGTCTTCTGAGAATATTGTTGAAAATTTGAGCCACGTCTTTTTTGCCCTATTAGGAATACAATCATTAAAATGTTTACCCAACTAACCACCAAAAAGCCCATCCACCCTCCCAAGTAAACTCAAATTAAGGCATTGCATATTTGTAATTATGACTGAATATCTGACTTTAAAATGTTCAGATATTAAATTTTCTTATTTATTTATAATTCCAAATTCTGAGTTTTAATAGTATACTATTTTTAATATGAGCAGTATGTTCACAAAGTGAAACCTTACTACATATAATTTCAACCATTTCTAACCCTTAGAATCATGTGGACTCAGATATGAAAAATAAAACCTTGCTATATGCTTACAATGTTCAGGGATCCGATTCCCACCCATATGGAACAAGCAGCCTCAAATAAAATGCTCGTGTTGTAAACAATATATATAATTTCCTTTTATAGTGATGGAAGGAAGAGAAGCTGCATTCTGCTAGTATAATAAAACTAAAAGAATCCTGTACGCAGCTGCGCTTTCATGGCAAGTAGACATATCCCCCTATTAAGCTAGGTCTACCTCAGAGAGATTTCATATAGATTAATAATGAAGGCTCTAAGTACCACATGATGTAGCAGTTCAGAGATCAGAATTATACAACTGTACTTTACTAAACAGAAGGACTTTACTGCTATACAGCGAACCTTGTAATCAGAACACTGCACAAGAAATTAACAAATGGAAAACAAACCCACGAGATTTTTCGGAATGGCCACCTGGTGTGAGGCTGACAAGCCTGCAGGAGAGTGAAATGCTACTTTCCAGCGCCTGAGATCATCCCGGGGCCTGTGCTAGGTCAGGAGTAGCAATGGCAATCTCTAAGAACACATCTCAATGGCACACACTGCTCTTAAATTTAAGTCTCAAATGAATATTAAATTCAGTGTCCAGGTCGGGGAATGAGATGGGTGGACAAAGCAGAAGGAACTGGATGTTCCAGCGCATTCCCAACTTCACAGAGGAAAGAGAAATTGCTGTTGGTGGAATTTGATATACGATTAAAAATACCTGAAATCATCTATATAAATGGAAATATCATTTTTGTATCTGTTCTACAGGATAGAAGTAAACTTTTATTATCCTTTATCAATATTATATTCAAGTTAACCTACGAACCACACCCTCCCATCGCTCTCCAACACTGAGTCTAACTGTCCGTCTGCCATTCTCTCCTCTGATTTTTCGAGCACCTGCGTAGACATCTAACTGATCACTCAGGACCATAAACACTGGGCTTAAAACAAAGCACACCCATGACAAAGACTCAGAGGAACCTGCTCATAACCATGCCAGGGCCCTTCATTACCATATATACTTCTCAGACTACCTTTCAGACTGATGTCAAGGACCATTATTCTCACTGTTAAATTCACTAAATATCTAACATGGCACAATTCAGCTGTATAAGCTTGGGCAGTAATATCAAATGCCTACCAGGGCCAGGCAGGAGACACAGCTGGGTAAAGCAGGCCCTGAGACAGAAAAGCAAGCTGCTGTCTGCAGCACACCCCAGTGTGCCATGGGGTGGTATGTGCTCTGTTCCAGCTGAGGGGCCATGTAGGCCTACAGGCTCCATGTTGCCAGCGTCAAAATTTTCAAGGGAAGCCAGAAATTCAAAACTGCGTATAAAGTCTCCTGCTATTTAACTGTTACCCTAATTTAAACATCTAAAAGCAGTGCCCAACAAACAGAACATATGATCTCTGCTGTAATGAGTTCTTAGCAGGTTAAAAAAAAACCAAAAAACCAAAAAACAAACCAAAACACAACTGGATATCCCCTAAGATCTCCCTACCTCTAACATTCTATGGTCTTCTTTAGATTGTTGACTCCTTGAGAATCCAAGGCCAGTGAATTATGTAAAAGAGCAGCTATTTATTAAATATAATGTAAACAAAAGGGCACAACGAATACCGAAGAAACTTCATATGCAGCGTGGTGAAAGAGGAGGCGACCTGGCCGAAGCCTGAGGCGGCCCTGAGCTCCTGCCCGGCTCCGCTAATTAGGCAGGCAGCCTGGGCACGCCTGAAGGTCAGTGACCCCTGAGCCAAGACCCTGACAGGGATCTCAGAGGATCTTTCGGAGGGGAGAACACAAGGCCATGAAGAAGGTACCGTTTTTGAGAAGGAAGAAACTGATTCCTTACCTCAAAGTCAATGAGCTGTAAATCAGCTACCAGGGTGCTCAGGAGCCCGCTGTTATACAGTTCTTGGGCGAGCTGCGCCACTGCTTCCGTCTGTGGCTCTTTTTCATTCGTGCCGTACAGGATTTCTTTCATGGCAACCAAATTTTTGGAAACTTCTTCTGTGGCCTGATTTTGGGGGAGAGGAGAAAAACTCCTTTAAAAAAACATACATGACATGCGTCCATTTGTTACATACCTTCTCTCTCGATTATACACCCCCAGAGTGCCGTAAAGGACACAAAGGGGGGCAAGCCCCGTCGAGGCCCTCGAGAGCTGAGCACGCGCGAGTAAGTGCACGTGAGGACTGACGCACGCGTTCCGGGGGGAGGCCAGCAATTCACAACGTGTGCGCGCGAACACTGAAGACGGCGTTATTATGGTAGAAACAGAACAGGCAGAGCAGGTTCGAGGCTGCCTCCCGCGGGAGGGAAACGGCATGGAAGCAGCCCCCGAGCTGACCCCGAGAACGGAGAGCCACGGATGAGCAAGGATGAGGGAAAGGGGGCTGAGGGAAAGGAATGGCAAGACGTGGGGATGAAGGAGGGCGAGAAGCACAGGGTCAGTCTGAGGAAAGGTGTGGAGGGAACAAGGCAATGGCAGCAGACGGTGGCTTTGAATGCCAAGCTAAAATGTTAGCAATAATCAATCACCGGAGAGCCTCCACTTCTGGCTAAGATAGAGGAACAAGAGCCAGATTTACCTTCCCCCATGAAAAAGATGACAAAAGAGCAGAAATTATATGAAACAATACATTTTATTTACTTATATATTTTTAAAAGATTTTATTTATTTATTTGCCAGACAGAGACAGCAAGAGAGGGAACACAAGTAGGAGGAGTGGGAGAGGGAGAAGCAGGCTTCCCGCTGAGCAGGGAGCCCGATGTGGGACTTGATCCCAGGACTCTGGGATCATGACCTGAGCCGAAGGCAGATGCTTAACGACTGAGCCACCCAGGCGCCCGAAACAATAAATTTTAAACACTGAACTTCAGCCAGCACAGGACGGTGACCCCTGCAAGAAGGGGAAGAAATGAAGTGAAACTCACAACTGCCCCAGTGTCCTGCCTGGAGAAGGGTTTCTAGGCCCCAGCGCAGGGAGGGGGGGCGGCCTCCAGGAGTTAAGGAGACAGAGCTGGGAATCCGCAGGGCAGAGTACCAGAGAGGAGAGAGGTGTGCAAAGACACACTGCTTCTTCAGCGGAGTAATGATAAGCCTGTGCACGTGAGGAACACACCCACAGTCTGGGAGCAGCCTGCCCATCTCCTGGCTTCTCCAGAAAACCTCCTCTCAGCTTCTTCAACTACTCTTTTATGAAACGTAAGGCTAATGTTGCAATCCCATCTAGGATGGAATGATGCAGAAGACACTAGACCACAACTTCCCCATAAACGTCACAAATGGTAATGTAGCCTGAGGCTACCATTAAGAATTTTTTGCGATTAAATCATATAATTCACTTGAAGCCAGGTCTTTGAGTGACACTGCATGCAATGAAGGCCTTACCTCTTCTCACTATTTAACTGAACCTCATTAACAGCCCACCCTTCAACACTGTGGACCTATTTCTGGACTCTGAAGGACATCCAACATACCAGCTATCACTCTCATATCTGCGTTATCGGCAAATCTGATAGATACATATACCTCCCACGGCCTCAATCATTAACCAAAACACCGAAAAGGAAGTAATTCTGAACGGAACCTACCACTATTATGCCTTTGAATCATCATGCTCTTTTCATTAACCATCTACCAATAATCTTTGGCATGGTCTCTCAGCCACTTACATATAAACGTATTTCCAAATCATGTTCAAAAGGCTTTTTGTTAAATACTTGGATAAAATAACATTTGACCCTTGAACAACAAGGGTCTGAACTGCTAGTCCGCTTATACACGCATTTTTTTACAGGGCAGTACTAGAAATGTATTTGCTCTTCCTTATGATTCTCTTAACGACATTTTCTTTCCTCTAGCTGACTTTAAGAATACAGCATATGGTACATGTAACATACAAAATATGGTAACTCTTGATGTTATCAGCAAGGCTTACGGTCAGCTGTAGGCTACTAGTAGTTAAATTCTGGGGGAGTCAAAAGTTTTATGTGGATTTTTGACTGTGTGGGGGGTCAGCACCCCTTGACCCCCTAACCCCCGTGTTGTTCGAGGGTCAGCTGGTTACTATTTCTTCCACATTTCCTGAATATAAGACAATGAAATTAAGTTAATTTGGTATGACCTTTTTCCTAAGCCTATGCTGATTTTTACTGACTACTTTCTTTTCTAAATGTTCAAGGTCATCCTACTAATCCTATGCAGAACTTCTTCAGTATCAGTGGTCCGCAGAATCTTTACCTTCTCCGGTCAGCTGTCACTGCCCTATTCTGTGAATGCCTTAGATTTCTGACAGCAGCTCATCATCCCAAATACCAAGTTTAAGTTCCCCAAAGTGTACTTTTTGGGGGCCAGTAGATAGAATCATTTATCAAGAGAAAATGCTCTCTTAAAAGCTAATTACATGTGTTACTTCTGTAATTTCATTAATCTTTATTCTGAAGACGATTTTCTCTGTCAGGGAAGAGCCTGGCATTTAATGCATTTCCTGAGTTTATTATCTGTTGATTTTATACTAGTGACCCTAAGTAGTAGGCCTCAGCCCCCTGTGCGTCTCTGGCTAGACCACCATTTTGAGGCTCTTGGCAACCTTTCATATGCCTCAGCTTAAATATGCTCTTCTTTGAAATCATGATATGATTTTAGATTTGAATTCAGACCATACTCTATGCTCTGACAGCAAAAGATGAATAAGAAGGGGGGGTGACAGCTAAAAGGTATGAGGTTTCTTTTTGAAGTGATGAAATGTTCTAAAATTGACTGTGGTTATGGCTGCACATTATCTGTGAATAAACTAAAAACCACTGAAATGTACAATTTGGGTGAATTGTGTGAGTTATCTCAATAAAGCTATTAAAAAAATACAACAACAGGGAGGAGAGAAGCAAGGGAATAGAAAGCAACTTACGGTATTTCTCAGATGAAAGGCAACCCGGACCCACATGTAAAGCCCTCTTCTTCCCTCTCAGAGGAAGACACTGTCACCTATATTATGGGTTGGAGGGCAGACACTGATGGCATTCCCATATCTGCTAACCACTGTACTCGTCTGCTTATGTGGATACTTCTGGATTCCACTCACCCTCTGGCTTTCTGAGGAACTCACTCGTCTGTTTTCTCACCTCCTTCTCATACAGCCAACTCCCTCTCACTTGATTTTTCCTTCCAATCAGTTTTAAATATGATCAAGACTCCCATTAACAAAATCAAATAAGCTCTCCCTTGGCTTAACCCCATAGCCCCCTCCCGGCTATTGCCCACCTGTAAACAAACCTCTAAAAAGCATCCACCTGTGTGTGCTATAGTCCACATCTCCTTCCTGGTCCCTCCCAGCCCCATCCCATGGGGCTTCTCCACCTAGCACTTTGCAGCTTTTAGCCAGTCACCAAAGACCTGCCTGCCAGGAAATACAATTCTCTGTCTTTAGTACATGTTAGCTCTTGGCAGCATCCGAAGGTGTTGATTACACCCTTCTTTCAAAACTACTCCTCCCTTGTCCTCTGTGACTCACCACCACCCTAATTTTTCCTGCCTGTCTCCTTGGTTGCTCCTTTGGCCTCCTTCTTGGCTCATCCCTCTTGAGGCGGCCGTTTAAATATTGGGAATTCCTCAAGGCAGGGTACAAGGCCTATTCTTCTCATTCTATCATCTCTACCAAAGTGATGTCATCCACACCCACAGCTTTAATTAACACTTCAATGCAGATACCTCACAGATTCCTATCTCTAATCCAGTTCTCTTACTAGTACATTCAGCAGCCTATTTGAAATGTCTCCACTTGAATGTCTCAAGGTACCTCAAACCTAATGCAATTGAAAACAGAACTCATGATATCTTGCTCTAATGCCTGACATTCTTCCCCTGTTCTCTATTTCAGGGAATGATACCACTACTGATGCTCTTATGCATGGTGGAAACTCAGAAGCCATCCTCAACTCTTCCCTCTTTCTCACCCCACCCCAATATCTAATTCATCACCATGTCTCCCAAATCCATCCATTTATCCCCATACCCCCCACCCCCCCACCCCCAACAGAGTCTGCAATCAGAGTCCACACAATTCTTGCCTGGACTACTCTAAGTAGCCCACTGACTGATTTCCTTGAATTCCCTATAATCCATTCTCCACATCACAACTAGAATGATCCTTTTTCTTTTTTCTTTTTTTAAAGATTTTATTTATTTATTTGAGAGAGAGAGAATGAGAGATAGAGAGCATGAGAGGGAAGAGGGTCAGAGGGAGAAGCAGACTCCCTGCTGAGCAGGGAGCCCGATGCGGGACTCGATCCCGGGACTCCAGGACCATGACCTGAGCTGAAGGCAGTCGCCTAACCAACTGAGCCACCCAGGCGCCCTAGAATGATCCTTTCTTAATACAAATACGATTGTCGTGACTTCTGCTTCAAAAATGTTCCAAATACCTATTGCTCTTGGGATGGAGAAAATTTCTTAACATGGCCCCTAAGACCCTGCATGGTCTGACCCTCCCTGTCTAACCTTACTCTGCACTACAGTTCCTCCCCCACCATCTCCATGCCACTCCTCTGGTCACACTGGTACCCTTTCAGGATCCCCGCACATGTGGCCTCCTAGGCCCACGCCCTGCCCCCGCCTCTTGGCCAACTCACATTCTTCCTTCATCTCTCAGCTCAATGATCACTTCCTCAGAGGAGTCTTTTCTCGTTAAATTCACCACCACCACATGCTTCTTTTCTCACACTTGTATGTAATTCTGCTTTTCCTTGTGATTTCTAATTAATGTGTTCCCTTCTCCATCAGCGGCCCAGCGCTGGCAGGTGCACCATACATGCTTGATGAATGGTTGAAAATCAGTAATCTTGAGCACCGGGATATAAAAAAAAAAATCCAGATGAAAATTGGATGTAGGAAAATGTGATGTTACCACACCATGAAGGCAAGGAATTCCTAAAAAACGTAGTGCATCCAAGAAAGGCAATCTACCTGACAGAGCTACAGGAGTGAGCAATGAACACAAATCCCTGTGTTCTCAC